GGGGGAGTGCAGTGTGGCCCAGCTGGGGGGCAGCAGCCACCCATCCCCATACCTACACGGGGCTGGGGGCTCATTTGTCCCCACTGTGCAGTCCAGAGCTGGGTATGGAGCAGTGGCAGCCCACGCGTCTGCCAGCTGCCCTGGGCCAATCAGATACATGGGGAAAGGGCAGCCAGATCTGCCCATGAAATTGGAGCCCAGGGCTGTAGGAAGCCTAGGACATTTGGCCCCAGGCTCCACGATTTAAGTACATCCCTAAGTATAACTCTCTAAGCATTAGCCCATTGCCATCAGGACACTCAGCCAAAAACCTGTGCTTTCAGTACAAAATATGATTGTACTAGCGGTCTGAAAAGATCCAAGTACCACAGAAAGCAAGCCTGGCCCTCATTTAAGATTTTTCTGCTGGGCGTATAAAGATTTAAGCAGAGCAGACAGTGTTTCAGCAGCTATTTGGTTTCCCTGGGTCTATTTCATGACCAGGTCTTTTCAAGCACTTCAGTATCTCTTCCCCCCCACTTTTTTTTTTTTTTTTTAGGCCTAGACGAATAGATCCTGTTCCTTATCCCATCCAGTTTTCTTCTTTTAAACTGTGTGCATTTACCTTTAAATATTTAAAGTTTTATATACATAATTGCTACACTGAAAATGTATATGTCCAGGCCCAGAATATAGCCTCTATGTTTTAATTTGTTGGATGTACACAGGAGGAAAGTTCTTATGCAGATATCAGGACATTTAAACAAGCATAACTGTAACTTCCTAAAGTCAATGGAACCAACTCTAGGCACAGACCTTTTAAGCTCAGCAGGACCATTTTAGCTCTTTTGTACCAGGACCTATTTGTAAAGATTAATGGCCAGTCCTGACCCACTGGCCCCCACCTCCAGGCCCAGCATGTGGGGCATGGGGAGCCCCAAGCAGCCCCTTGCAGGCTGGGGCTCTGACCCCTGCAAGGGAAACGCCACGGTTTCCTAGGGGGTTTTTTTGTTCTTCATTCATTTTTAAAGTTTGTTGATCCATTTTTAAAGTTTGTTCACAACCCTTTCATATATTGTTGCAACCCACTTCTGGGTCATGACCCACAGGTTGTGAAACACTGCTTTCGATGACAAATGCTCTCTTTCATCTTTGCCATGGATGCACAAGAGCACTGACAGTAAGATTACTTGTAAATTTAAGGTAAATCTTTACAGGATTGTGGCATTAGAGATTATTTATTATCACCTGTGACCTTTTTCAAAAATAAATCCCAAATAGCCAACTGCAAACATGTGTTTGCATGTTTACGAACAATTTCATTCTTTTAAAAAATGTTGACTTCAACATGAAATGCGAAAGTCTAGAACTCTTGGTTCCAAAATGATCCCTTTTATTAGACCAGCTGAGAAATTGCCAGGGTATGTGTGCATGTGTGTGTGTTTTTAAAAT